TTACTGCAGATCCTCGACGAGTTCGAAGAGAGCATCAAGGACAGTATACCTCCTGTTGATGCTCCTTTTAGACGGTACTAAAATTCCTTTTACTTGTGTTACAGCCGCGGGAAATTTTGCTGACATTCAACAAAGGCCTTGGATCGATTCAGCACAACCGTCCGCCATCAAGGAGACGGTGGTGGAGACCATTGAATTTCCCGAGGAAGACGAATCGACCGGAGATGTCAGCTCCGCCTTCTTCGGACCAAACTGCCAGGATATTGTCGAGACATCTGCCCTGAATGTGCTGCTGACATACCTCTGTGGTTCTTCAGTCTCGGTGCTTGAGAATATCATGGTCGAAAGGGAGGAGCTAGCAAGCTCCGTATCGTACTGGTGGGACGCAAGGCCAAATTCGACTATTTGGTTCCAGCCAACAGGTGTTGCTACCGAAAAGCTTGCGTTCGTGGAAAAAAGGCTGCACGATCTGCTGAAAGAGGTGGCCTCAAAACCGTTCGACATGACATACATGAAGGAATGCATTAGCCGGGAGCGAAGACAGGTCAAGTTTTCTGCTGAGAGCTCTGAGGGCTTTTATTCACAAAACATCATCTCAGACTACCTTTTCGGGAAGCGGGATGGCTCGACCCTACGAGAGCTAGAGACGCTCCAAGAATATGACATCCTCGACAAGTGGAACGACAGTCAGTGGCGCGAGTTCCTAAGGAAGTGGTTGGTCGACGTCCATCACGTCTCGATCCTTGGAAAGCCCTCGATGGCGATGGCGACCAAGGTCAAGGAGGCTGAAGAGACACGGATCGCAAAGAGGAAGGCAGAGCTCGGGTCGGAAGGCTTGAAGAAGCTGGCCGAGAAGCTAGCAGCAGCAAAAGCCAAGAACGAGGTTGAGATTCCACCGTCTGTGATCGACCAATGGCCCGTGCCTGGCACAGAGTCCATTCACTTCATCAACTCCAGCTCTGCCAGGTCTGGAAAGGCGAAGGAGATAGGATTGGGCGAGGATTCTACACAAAGACTCATTGACAACGCTAGGCCCGGACTACCGCTTTTCATCCAATTTGAAAATGTAGCAAGCAACTTCGTACATATTGCAGTACACGTCAGCACGACAAAAATCCCTGTCGAACTGAAGCCTCTCATGTCCATATTCATCGACAACTTCTTCAACACGCCCATCAAGCGCGATGGCAAGCTTGTTAATTTCGAAGACGTTGTCATGGAGCTCGAGAAGGATACCATCAGCTACGCCCTGAACGGGGGCGGCAAAGTATATGATCCCGAGAGTATCTTCATCAGCTTCCAAGTGGAACCCGACAAGTACACAGCCATTATTGAATGGATCCGTGCCCTGATGTTCGATAGTGTCTTCGACCTGCGGAGACTCAGGGCAGGCATCTCGAAGGCCCTGGCTGATATTCCCGAGGCCAAGCGAGACGGCAGAACCATGTCTCTCGAGGTTGACTGGGCACTCCACGTCCAGAAGTCGTGGCTTCCGATGGCTAGGCGTACTCTTGTGAAGGCTGTTTACCTTCGTCGATTGAAGAAACTTCTCCAAAATGAGCCCGAGAAAGTCTTGGGAATGTTTGAGCAGCTCCGCAAGTGCCTCTTCACTTTTGAAAACACTCGGGTCCTCGTCACCAGCGATCTAACGAAACTCGGCGAACCCGTTGCACCCTGGGACATCTTGACCAAGTCGCTTGGTAGCAGCGAGGGGAACATGTCCTCCATCGTCAGCACGCACACCATGCTCAACGATGAGGGCAAAAATCCTGGCTCCATCGGATCCGTGATCATCCCCATGACGTCCCTCGACAGTTCTTACAGCGTATCCACCGCCAAGGGCCTTGTCTCGTACGACGACCCACGCATACCCGCCATGCTTGTGGCCATCGGCTACCTCGAAGCCGTGGAGGGCCCGCTCTGGAACGCCGTGCGCGGCAACGGCCTCGCCTACGGCACGCACTTCAACCGGGAGCTCGACTGGGGTTTCTTACAGTACAAAGTCTACCGGTCGCCCGACGCGAGCAAAGCACTCGACATCTCGCGCCAGACGGTGGAGAAGATTGCGACTGGTGTGGTGCCACTTGATCGGCACCTCGTTGAGGGCGCGGTCAGTGGGATTGTGTCGGGTTTCGCGGATGAGCAGGCAACGATGGCGGATGCGGCGCAACAGAATTATATCCTCAGTGTGGTGCGTGGATTGGGCTTGGATTGGACAAAGAAGATTATGGCGCAGGTGCGCGGCGTGGGGGATGAGGATATTCGTGCCGTCATGCGGGAATTAATCTTGCCTGTCTTCCAACCCGGGAAGAGTAATGTCGTTGTTACTTGTGCGCCAATAATGCAGGAGGTAAGTCATTCTCACTCGACTGATTTCTTCCATATTGTTTACTAACGCGGCACGCATAGAATATGGAGAAGGCATTCAAGGTGATGGGTTACGCTACCCAGGTCAAATCGCTATCGGACTTTCACGACCACTACGGTCTTGAGGGTGACGATGATGACGCCAAGACGGACCCCGAGGGCGATGAAGAGGAGGATGAGGATGAAGATGAGGACGACGAAGATGAGTCGTCTGAGGGCGGTTCGGAGGATGAAATGGAGGATTGAGGCAGGGTTCTGCCTACAGACCGGCGATGATCTCGAGAAGAAAAAAATCAAGGGAGGAGGGGCGAATCCTAGATCTAGAGGTAGATCCAGAATAGAGCCTACGATAGAGAAACACAGCATTGGTATTAGTATTTGTTGGATTACAGGACTCGTTGATTCCCTTGGGCAAAGATTGGATCGTCCTCGTAAGCGATCAGAGGACAGCGCGATCTATCGAGATCCAAGATCACTCTAGAGGCTTCAAATATCCCAAAGACCCTAGATTATTACTGTATATTCAAGTGGACGTAATAATAGGATGTCTCACTTTGTTCGAATGCCTCTCTTTCGTAGCTCAGGTAGGGGGCGCTTTGCTCACCCAGGTCGGGGTTAGGGGTTTGGGCCATTTCTTGACGACGCTTCTCATCCACCACGAGAAATCCTCTCCCGTTTAACTTATTCTGGGCGCCAGACATATATCTCCGATCTCAAGCATGTCGCAGGATAAGGAAGCGGAAGGCATGCGGTTTGAGATTCTGAAGGCAGTTGGAGGACATGGAGCATCCGCGAGAGTAGGCAGGCTCACTCTGCCTCAACGCCAGACGGTCGACACGCCCAATTTCTTTGCTGTGACCTCGAGAGGTGCAGTGCCTCACTTGACGCCCGACACAAGTGCGAGATATGAGTCCTTCCCTGGAGTTTACATGGCTATGGAGGACTGTAAGTATACCTGACCCTCCCATGCTCGTGCGCTTCCCAGAAACTGCTTTATGCTAACATGAGAAGTTCAGTGGTCGAGAAGTCTCAGAAGGTGGTGACCAAAATCCCAGCTGCGGCTAAGATCCCAGCGCCAGACGGGAAACGCCTCCACGCCTTTGCAGGCCTGTCCTCCCCTTCTAACATCACCGTCCTCGGCCCACGACGGACGCCCGCCGTCAAGGCCAGCATAGGAAATAGTGATACCTACATCCAAATGTTCACCTCCAACGGCTTCCAGCCCCTGACCAACACCGAATACATCACCATCATCGACACGCTGAAGCCGGATATTGCCATCCCGCTGGCGGACATGAACTATGCCGCCCTGAAAACGCCAGGCGGGAAAGCGATGCGGCGGATGGGTGAGAGGACCGAGGACTGGATGGCACAGCTGCACGCCACGCTGGACGTGGAGGAGCTGCGGAAGTCAAACACGTCCATCTTTGCCCCTACGTTGCCAGCGCCGTATGCTATGCAGTGGAAGTATCTCGAACGGCTCTCAAAGGATATGGCTGGTAGTTTGTCGGGCCTGGCAGTGTACGACGTTGACATACTGCCCGATCTGGTGGAGCTTCCCTCTTTGCTCCCACTGCCCCGCCTCTCGATTGACGCACCCGAAGATCCCCACGACACCCTTCGACAAATCTCACTCGGCGTAGATCTCTTCCTCCTACCTTTTATCAATACGGTATCCGACGCCGGCGTGGCAATGACCTTCACCTTCCCCCCACCTCCTCACCCTCCTCACTCGCAGGCTACCACACACGGAACCGACCTCCTTCCCTTGGGCGATGACCTCACCTCAGCCTCAAACGCCGTCTCTCTCGAACCTCTTGTCGAAGGCTGCACCTGCTATGCCTGCTCCTCGCACCACAGGGCCTACCTGCATCACCTGCTAAATGCCCGGGAAATGCTTGCCTGGACTTTGCTTCAGATCCACAACCACCACGTCATCAGCAACTTCTTCGCCGGCATACGCGCCTCTCTGGCCGTAGGAAAGGAAAAGTTTGAGGAAGACTGCCGGGAGTTTACGAGGCGGTACGAGGCGAGTTTACCTGAGGGAACAGGCACGAGGCCTAGGGCACGAGGGTACCATTTCAAAAGTGAGTTTATGGATGGGAAGAGGAATGAGTCGACGTGGCGGATTTTGCAGGATGGGCCGGGACAGATGCAGGCAGGGGGAAGGGCGAAAATAGAAGCTTTGAAAGGGAAGCTGGCGAGAGATCAAATAGAGACGCCGGTGGTGCCTGGCGAGGATGTGGTTGTGACTGAGAACTACTTCTAATAAGACGCTGTAGAAACATGCGAATTTGCGGCCGTATTGAGACCAATTGGCGACTTGGATGCCAACTGAAAAATGCGCGGCAGCGAGTAGCCTGTCGAATGCTGCCAGAAACGACAAATGTAGATAGCCATTGAATAAAGCAATGGAGCAGGCGAGAGATTGGGCTATTGTTTGGCGACACAATTAAAAGGAGTGTGCTATGTAGAAGAACCTTCTACATATACACACGTATACTCCTTATATACCTACAGTAACTCGGAGACATATCATCACAAGGATAAGAAATCTCTCCACAGGACTCAAAAGCCATATCTTCAGTTCGAAAGTGGTGTCAGCGATTCCAAAAAGACGGAAAAAGGAAATATGCTCCTGCTCGGACTCGAACCGAGGGCTCCGGCATAACAGCATTCGTTTTTCGAATGTTTTATAAGACCGGGGCTTTAACCACTAAGCGACAGGAGCCTTTGTGATTATCGAGGTATCATCTCGTTGGAAATGGATGCTATAAGATGGGAAAGAAAGAAGGGACAATGGGCTTCGCGGTGTCTCGTTTGGGGGGGGGGTTACGGTCATGGAGTATTGGGAGTCATTCCATAGCTCCCCTCCTTCTACCGAACCTGGCACAGAATAGCGTTTGATAATTATAATGGCATGTCTTTATCTGGTACATTATTATATCCTCTTCTGCGGTTTCATACCAAGGGATTGAGAAGTAGGACAAACATCATAGTTTCTCGCACAGTCACATCACAGTTCCCTCCCCTTTGTCTACTGGATACTATATACGCATACCCCTAATCTGTCGAGTAGTCTAACTGTTACTGAACCTATTCCGACTTATTTAGGTGCATTAGCATTGCGTCGGCAGCAGTCTTTTGCTTTTCAAACGACCCCCCCCCCACGCTAGGTTCCAACCTACAGCCTCCAATACCAGCCTTTTGTGTTCCCCACGAGGCGATATAGACAAAGAAGATGTAGTACTAGATGATACATCAGCTTCTCAAACGAGTGGGAATGAATGAAGAAGGAAAGCATTGCCTCTGCCTCTAAATGTTTTCTATGGCCCACGTATCGCCCTTAAGATGATCACATTTACATGCGACATGTGCTCTTGCTCATAGATTTGTGCCCACGATCGCCTGAGGCTCACATAGCTACTTCATCTAGTGTCCTTTGTACCCGAAAAGTTCGAAATCAACGGTATCCCACCCACATTGGATACGATACAACGGATGTCCATGGTGGTTTGTGCCATATGGTAACATTTGACATAGGTTTTTGTTGAGACTTGAGCACCCATTAAGTGGCCTGCTAGCAGTTGACGTGTCACTCCATGCAAGCAATGGCCACGGAACATGGACTGACATGTAGCAGGAGCTGAATCAAGGGGCGATATGAGGGACATGGGTGGATTAATGCATCCCGATCCCGACTGCATTGCTCGTCTCTGGGTCATCTTCATTGCTATAGGATATTCAAGCCGCGTCCTGGATCTCAACAGGGGCTTTGGGCGTTTTCTTCTTCTTTGGCTTTACCACAGTCTGTGACTCGCCCTCCCCAAGGCCCTCTCCGTTCTCACCACCCACATCCTCAGCCCCAGCCTTCTTCTTCTTCTTTTTCTTAGGCTTGATAGCAACAGGCTCCTCGCCATCTTCTGCAGCTTCTACCTTCGGCTTGACCACCTTCTTTTTCTTCTTCTTGATCACTGTGCCTTCGACGTCCACTCCCTGCGCGACTTGTATTCTTTCGTTTGCCCTCTGCATCTCCAGCCTCAAACGCTCTACCTCCTTCATCGCCTGCGCCATCTCCGCCTCTTCCTGCTTTTGCCGCTCGTAGTCGTAGCCGGAGCCCTTCGAGCTGTCTCCACCGCCTTCGAGGCTGAGACTGCCGATATTGCTCGAATCGACTTGTAGCAGCGACTGCTTAAGCTTCTTAGCGCGGGCCCTAGTCAAAGCGTCTGAATTATTCTCGGAATCGTAATTGCGAGGAGTCGAGCCGCCACTACCGACAAGGTTCTCGTCTTGCGCAATGACGATCCTTTGACGTGGCTTCGGCCGCGGCGCAGGTCGATCTGGTGAAGCCAGGCCAGCACCTTCAATTTTCCCAAGGTCAAGTTGCATGATGGGTATCGCATCAATGTCCAGGTCGGGACCATTTGCATTTTGCAGGATGTTATGAATAGGAGTGGACGTCCCTGTCCGGCTGACAGGGGCTCCAATGTAAAAGGGATCATCTTTGTTCCTCTCAGCGCGCTCTGCTTTCCGCCTTTCGAGAATGTCAGCATCCAGATAGCTCTCTTCGCTTGCCTGATATGAGGTTGGGACCTCCTCGGGTGCGTCTGCGAGTTTGTTGATCGCTGGCTCACTAGATGAGAACTTCGTTGGTGGTGGCTTCTGATGGTAATAGACCTCAAATTCGTCTTCTTCCTCCGCCTCAAAAACAATGGTATCCCCAGCTGCCAACAGATTGATCAGGTTCGGGTGAATTGGTTCATCCAGATCGAGACCGTCCGGTATGGGTACATTCCTCTGTGCAGATACAGCGACAGAATTCAATTCCCACCCTGTGAACAGAGATGGAATCGCCTGCGTAAGCAGCAGCGGTGGGTCTTGCTGAAACTCGTCGTTGGTTGCAGGCTGTCCGGACACAGCTTCAGAAGTGAGCTTGAGTAATTCAGTAAACTCGACAGCCCGTTCTTGCACCTCAAGATTCGGGTTCAGTACAAGTGGCTCCAGGACGTGTATTATGCGGGCTAGTAGGAGCGACGTTTTGGCTTTTCTTTCTGGTGTCCAGTCATAGTAGTTGCCGGTGACTTGAGCAAAGATTTTGATGATGGCTTGTAGGCAGGACGCCAGAACATCTGGATACTTGGCGCGCGGTGTTATCTGCAGCAAGTGCCCCAGAGTATCCTCTAAAGATGTGACCTGATCGCAGTATTCCCCGACCATCCAGGCTAGAGGTCCTAATGCGCCGGACGTAACAGGCTGTGTGGAGGTGGCCTCAGCGGCGAATTGTCTTAGGATTAGTTCGGAAGCATTGACAGCAGCTGGCCTGATTGCATTGACCTTGACTGCCACGTTCCTCAGCTCATTGCCAATCTTTTCTGAGACACCGCCAGCTGAAAGTTTCGTGGTTGTCGTATTTTGGTCCAGCCCTTCGTCCAGCTGTCTCGGAACGGGAGCCATTCGGACAAGTTGCGTTAAGATATCAATGTACCACTCAAAGTCGACCACGTTGGTGTAATTATTTTGAGAGCACATGGTCAATATCCTCTCAATGACTTCGATTTTGTAGTCTTCAGGTAAAGGCGGCGCTTGTTCGGCCTCTCTTTCTCGTGGGTCGATGGCAACTTCAGCATCCGCCTCTTCATCAGAATTGGTCTCATGTAACTGGGCCGACGGCCGACCGGAGGAAGTCGAGGTCTTCAGTTGCCTCATCAAGCGGCCAACGATGGACATCAGGTTGTCGCTGCTGACCATGCCCCTGACTAAGTTCAGCGCTTGAATGCGGATGGTGATGTCAGGACTGTCTATGCACTCCATGATCACATCTTCTTGCTGGGCCACAAGGAAGGGATGGGTCGTGACGATCTTGTTGAACGCAAGCAGTGCAACGTATTTAACTTCATAGTGGTGTCAGAACAGCACGAGGTGAGATCAGTGGGCCGTGACTTACGATTTGGATCACCGTCCACCATAATCATCCCTCGGAGCTTCGTTACGCAGAGGGATGCAATCTCTTCCCTGTCTGAATCGTCATCGCTTTCACCAAGAATCCCGCCTTGAATAATTCCGTTGATACATTCGTACAGCAACGACATCGCTGGCGTGGTCCGGATAAGATCGGTCAGAGGAGGTAGCAACTTGCGCACAAGCCGAGGTTCCAGAGGCGTTAAAGTGGCAAACTGCAAGAAAAGTCAACAACAATCTTGGATATAGGACTTTAGCGTACCTACCAGCTTGATCAACTTGATGGCCATCCAGTTGTTACCGCCGTCTACCAGCAGCTCAAATAGTCGTGGAGCCAGTGGAAGAAAATCATTAGGTCGTCTCCACCCCAGCTCACACACGACGTTGACGATAGCAGCTGTGACGCTGGGATCCTCATCGGGGGCCATCAGACGTTCCTTGATCTGTGGCCATGCTGCCCTAAGTGTTTCTGGGTATACTAGGGCTAATCTGTACAAAGTGACAATCGTTTTCTTTCGTATGGAAGGGTTGCTGGAAGTGAGCCGTGGCAAGAGATCGGACAGCGTCGACAGCGCCAGGGAAGGGTTTATTACGTGAGGGAGGACCGTGATGGGAAGTATGATCGTAGTCGCAGATGGTGAGGCCAAGTCCTACAAGGGATTGTCAGCTGCCGACTCTCCGTATATTCGAGGTAGAGAGGTATAAACCTTTTTGATTAAATTGGTGGCCAACATCAGAACTTCGGTGTCTGGTCGGAAGCTCTGGACGGCGGCAAGATACCCAATGCGCTTCTGTTGGTATTTGGCCGAGGACATGACCTCGAGGACGTTGAAGGAGGCCCAGGACATGTCGTGGCCCATCATCTCAAGGTAGCAGAGCTTGAGCAAGGCGGTGGCCTTGAGATCTGTTTGTAAACTTCAGCATTCTGAGTCTGATCGAGTAGTGGCGTGGACAGTGGACGAACCCATATCCTGACCGCGAACTTCTGAGCGACATTCTTTCAGGCAATTCTGGATGTATTCCCTCTCGTTGCCCTTGTGGTTGCGCAAACCTCGAATGAGGTCGTATAGTGATTTTTCGAACCTGCCATTACTTCAGCACCCGTGTACCTCGGGACTTGGGATTCTGTGCGCCACCGAGAACATACATCCTGTCGAGACCACGAGGCGGTCACGCCTCTCGCGTGGATTCGCAATGATCGGGCCGGGTTGGGAGAGGAGCTGCTCGAGTTCAGGGAGTCTGGCGAAATAAAGGAGCGTGGCGCCTTCCACCCCTCATCATCTTGCAAGTGCTGACTCCAGTTTACAAAGTGTCGCGTCGTCGTGGACCGCTTCGACTATTGTTAAAAGCTGTGTTGTGTGGTGATGACGGTCACGGAATTTAGGTACTCCAAATCGAGTCTGCGGGTTGCTGCCAGAGCGGCCGTCACATCATCTGCCCCACGCGGCACCCGCAATCCACCACCCCTACCCCCCCAAACTGCTATGGTACCTCCCCAAAAGCTTCGCGAGGCTCCCAGTGCTGCTTGTTGCAGGGGAGGACCTTGTCGCTTGTCGCGATTGACACCAGCTTCCATTAGGTACCTAGCTTCGAACCACCATCAATTCTCCCATTACCGCCTACCCACTGCACCTCACACCTCAACGCTGCTGCACTTTCAGACCCGACAATTGACCTACTCCTGTTTCTCGTCTGCAAACGAAAGTAGCCTCAATATGGCACCCTCACTACTCCATCCCCCGAGCCAGCTGTCTCCCCAACAGGCCCTCGAGC